AGAAAAGCAAAGTTTCATTATTGTGCATATTTTTTGGTCCTGCAGTGTTGCAGCATCACTTTTTATCCAGATCCTAGGGGGAAAAAGTAAATATGTGTCTATGATAAAGTGGCAAGAGAATAAATAAATCTGATTTTGTAGTCTGATTTTTTTCCCTGTAAGCATGATGTTTTATGAAGTGAAAACATAAATATACGTACATGCAAGTTTTCCACATTTACTAACCCCCTGAAGATTTGGGAAAAAGATTTCAAAATTTATCAGCCACAACATGACAACACATGAACACAAACAAGGTTAAAAAAAAAACCCAAGGGTGTTTTTTAATTTAATAAGAAAAACTAAGACACAGCTAAGTCATCAGAGGTCTGTATTACGAAGTAGGATTTTAGCTTAACCCAGACAACTTCAGGTCTAACCCTGAGCTTTCAGTAGTACAAAGCTGGATCACTTCTTTCCAGGGTAAGTCGTCCTACAAGTCGTAACTTGTGCTGTGAACCAAACGTGCTTCAGATTAGTGATCAGCAGGTATGAAATGACCACCTAATGACCAATCAGTTCTCCAGAAAATAGCATCAGCATCCTCAGAAAATTCCTCGGACCTCTGCAAGGAGAGAGAGAGAGTGTGTGCGTCTGTTCTAAAAGCATTAATATAAAATAGGACACCTGACCTCAAATCAAATTTGTAGGTACATTGTGTTTGAATTATTTCTGTGCTTAATCTTCACTCTGAAAACCTTAAATAGCACAGAGTCTGTACTTGAAAAAATAAACCAAACAACTTTCACTTCACGGATTTCAAACTGTTCAACCTGAGCTGTCCCTCTGATGTACTCATTTTTTAATTCTGTCCATCCTGCTCATCTGTGATGTAATCCTATCTCTGTCCTTATATATTGATGACTGAATTACCTCAAAACTGTTCATGTTAAGTACTTTATGAACGAGAAAATGAATCAGAGTGCCAGTTAGCTGGTTCAGGTGCAGCAGGATGGGAGGAGTCACACAGAAACAGTACTTTATTCACCGTGCCCAGTAACGTTGTTTTGCGCTGCAGCAGTCTGTGCCACAGTGAAGTAAAGAAATTGTCCGTTGTGACGTTTCTCCCATCAACCAAAAACGGCTGCATCATTTTCATGACCACGTTCTCTGCCAGCTTCTCTCCCTTCTGACGACTGGGGTCCTTTCCCAAGTAAGGAGATGCATTGGAGACATATTTGGTCTCCAAATCCGCGGCCATCCAGAACTTGATCCCAAATTTGTCTGGCTTGGTTGCAATGTTCCCTCTAAGCTGCGCACGTGCGCAATTGCGCACTGCTGGCACGGTCTCTGCGCACAGAAAATCTGCGTTGCGCACAAAAAAAATCTAACCTGAATTGAAATTAAAATTTCAACAATTCTGTTTTGCAGTGTTAGTCAGTAAGTGACTGGCTGCTCCCGTATGGGATTAGAACGATGCCACCTTATCCCATAGTCCAGCCAATAATGCGATTCACATACGCAGCTAATCAACGTCGTTGACAGGCTATGACAGCGTCCTTATGTGCTGACACCGGTGCTTTAGCTAGCAAAGCGGCGTGGCTGATGTGGAGTGAAGCCACGTTAATGACAACGTGTAAACCGTTTGGAGATGTGAGCAGGACCTGACGGAGAAAGTGTGGACTTTATACCAGTTTTTAAATTGTGTTGATAGGCCACGTAAAACCAGAGTTATGATAAAAATATATGCAATGTTTGATTTTCTTCCTGAATACTATCGTTGTTTATATTTACTGGGGAAGAAACGTTCTATAAGAAAAAAAAGCTCGAAAGCGCTCTCTGCCTGTGAGCAAAAACAAAACCAAAAAAACCCCACCCTTTCCTATTGGTCGAAAAAAGTACCATGTCGACCAATCAAAAAATGATATGGCAAGTTGTTAAGAAACGGGGAGAAGTTTTAGGAGTGACGGCGGTGTTTTGAGATGTGAGAGATTTGCGACGTTTAGCGCAAATCTTATGTAGTTAGTGTGTAGTGTAGTCAATAGTTTTGTTGTGTGTGTCAGAACAATGAGGCGACTGCTGAATGTTACAGGTGTTACAGCAGTGATACATCTCCTGTTGTCAGGCCTGCAGGTACCAGGCTGTTGTTCTCCTTTATGTGGACAGAAATTATTCTTGGAGTGGCATTAATAATTTGTGTGGCATCAAATTTGATGCAGAACAGCTGATTGTGCTGTAAATAGTTTGAAATGTTTATTTTAAAAAAATAGCTGCAAAAAACTTTGTTGTTTCCCAAACTGAGGTACTTTTTTGAAGAAGTAACTATATAATTAATTGCCCAGCATTGGTCATTATATACTGTATTTTGCAGACAGAGAGTTACAGGACTCTCTCCCAGACCACAGACTCAGACTCATAATACAAGTCAGAGCTTTATAAAAAAAAAAAAGAAAAGAAAAAAGAATAAAGTTGTGTTTTCAAAATTTGAGTTAAAGTTATTTTTACTTCCAATTGTGTTGACATACTACACAGGTCAATGACTACATTTTTGTTTTACATTCTCATTGTAAGTGGGCTAAAGCAGTTAATTAAAAGTAGTCTAAAATAAATGTAAATGCTGTAATTTGATTATTTTAATAGACCATGTAACTAGGACGGATTCGATGCTGGCGTAACCACAGTGCACACGTCTGATGTCGCTCACAGTGGTCCAAGGGATCGCTCAGGGAGTTTGTGTGTTTGCTCAGACACATGGAAAATTAGAGGGAACATTGCTTGGTTGTGTGAATGGACAACAAACCTTGGTAGGGAACAGCTGTTCATATATGGTCATGTGTTCTCCTGGAGTGGAACTCTTAGCACAGTTCTTGTTGAAGCGTGTCCAGATGTCGGAGATTGTCACAAGTAGGGATGGGTATCGTTTAGGTTTTATCCGATACCGGTGCCAAATCGGTACTTTTGAAACGGTGCGTGCAAACGGTGCTCAAACCGGTGCTTAAAGAATGGAGAACACAAAATTGGTCCAAAAACCTCTCATGTTCAGCTGTTTTTTGTAAAAAGATAACAATGTTAGCCTTTTCTGCAGCTATGGGGCATATATGGTATCACTCTTGGCTGGAAGCAGTGCTTAAACAATGGAAAAAACACAAACTTTGTCCAAAAACCTCTCATGTTTACTGTTTCCCACTTTTTCTTTGGTCATTTTAGCCTTTTTGGCCAGGGTGAAGGGAGCATCTGCCATCAAACAAGAAGACAGCCGCATGTAGCTATGATGATGTTTGCTAGTTCACCTTAGCCTACTCAACGTAAATTACACACGAACAACATTAAGCTACTCACGCAGAAAGAACGGCTGCTGCTGCATCATCATCCTCATCATTTCTGATACACTGGCAGGGCTAGGGGCCAGGACTCTCCTCTTCGGGTTTTTGGGGGATGTTGCTAACTCCGGGTCGATAACAGGCAACCCACGCACAGTAGATGTGCTCGGTGTGAGGTCTCGCAGCAAGCTATCATACGGCGCATTTCTGGGCTTTTAAAAAAACGCTATGCGTCGCCAGGTGTTTCATCGGATTTGAGGTGTTACCTCCTTTGACAGTATCACAGTATCAGCTTAAAGCACTTGTTGCAGGCTGCTGAGTTTGCATTTTTGCTGTGAAGTACAGCCAGACTTTTGACCGCTTCGCCTTGGACATTTTTAATCTGTAGCTCTGCTCTAAAAGAACGTACGTACCTGGCCCCGCCTACTATCCTCGGAAACGTAAAATGATTGGCTAGAAGTGTATCACAGCTCAGGAAAAAAAAGCACCGAAATGTGCGCTGCTTTTCGGTCTGGTTACTACCGTTTATGTCAGAACCGGTGCCATCATGGCACCGGACACCGGTACCCATCCCTAGTCACAAGTTTGTCTGTTTTCACCCGTTCTGCCTGCATGTCCTTGTCATCAAATCGAAGGTGTTGCATAATAGAAATGAATCTATCTCAGGGCATTGTCTCTGTGATTACTGGCACCAGAAATATCAATGTCAGTCATGTCACAGAACTTTTCATTCTGTTTTCACACTTTTTTTCATAAATAAAACAGATTTGTGTTTCTATATATTGTGAATGTGTGTCTTTCATATTTGCAGGTCAGTCAATGTGTGGGATATTTTGTATAGACACGGCAGGCATTTCTGAAGGTTATAACACAGAGGTTTGGCCTGCCTTGGATCTGAGCTGTGGTTTGCACAACAAAAGCAGTAGGAGAATTGAGCTGACGACCTGTGAAAATCTCAGCAGGGGTGAATAACACCTTGGGACTTGCACCAGAAAATAAAAAAGTCATTAATTCTAGTGTTAGGACTCATCGGTGAGGTAAAGTCCAGTCCAATCTATATCCTTAAGGGAAGAATATTTTCAGGAGACATGACTAAAGCATGGAAACAGCATTGTGTCTTCATAGCCTGGCACTGAGGTGGATCGGCCAGTTTCAGGGAAAGCGAGTGTGGATCTATGCCGGGAGCTTTTGCTTGTGGGTGATTCTCCCCTAATGGAGGTTCTGAAATTATAATTTCGCTGAGATGGCGAGCGACCTGAGCCACTCTATAACTGGATGGAGCAGAGAGGAGTTCTGATGGGGTGAATAGATGTAGAATGATTCCCAACAGGTTCCCCAGGATGGCCGGTAATGTTTGGTCTCTCTGAAGCCTGATCATGTCATTTAGAAGAGAAGTGTTTTGGTTTCTTGAAGTGCCTGGAGGGAATTTGATTAAATTGAGCAGTAGAGGTTTTCGTCTGATGGTATGAGGGACGAGGGGCCCATGGTGAGCACAAATCATTAGATGCTGATGGGTGTTTGCATAAAAAAAGATTACAAACAGCACGTAGATGGAGAACCTGAAGGAGCGTGTCTGAGGTGTGGTCCCACTCCTGAAATTCAGATAAATTATCTTTGTTTGGTATTGTGGTCTTGTCATTTCTGGAATGTGTTTGACAGAATAGTAAACGATCAAAGTGTGGAAAAGGAACCATTCAGAAATTGTTTTCATGCTTAAATTTATTGCAAGTGAAGGAAGCACCTGAAGGGTAGAACATACAACTTTGATGCAAAGAAAATAAATCACACTTTTTCACGCTTCGACAGGAATGTTGCTCTTCATCACTGCAAACGTACTTATTCATGATATCAAACTGTGTTTGGTCATATTAGCCATCAATATATAAATGAGGCTACGTCCGTACACATACACAGCATTTTCGATCAGTAAAAACTTCTGCCAGGGTGAACATTTTCAAAAACTACATTTCTACATTTACATGTTGGCAAAGAAAATGAATATTTGTCTTGTAACATCAAACGTGTTTGCCATTATCTCTTCTTTGATGTCAGACTGTGTGCTGTGTTATTGTTTGTGGGATTTCTTCAAAACTAGGGTTATATCACCACCTGCTGCTTTGGCACATTCTCAAAAACACTTGAGACTGATTGTGCCATTTAAAAAAAAATACCTGTTTTCATGTAGATGTAGCTGAAGTTGCTTTCTTAGGCATGGATTTCTTGCAAGCAATGTTCATCAACCTGCTAAAGGGCGCCACATTTCCTCTGTTTTAATAATCTGCTCATTTTGGTGTGGAGGCAGGGGTGGAACAATACACAAGTTAGTGATGATTATAAATATAGACATCTTAACACGTTTATTATAGCACCACCCAGTATACGCTTTAGCTCACAGATGCCCAAAATTAACAGCATTAGTACCAAAATGGTTAACCTGCCAGTATGTACAAGCTCTTTAATCAAAACCATATAATACTTATTAAACTGATGATAGTGTCATAAAAAAAAAGTGAAAAAAAATGTGATTATTGTTACTCGAGAATTTTAAAATGTATTATTTTAATAATATTCTTATTGAATAAGCTTCAGAAATTAGAGATATTTACTGGCAATCATGAACCAAAAATGAGTTTTAGTAAGTTCTCAGAAAAAGTTTAGTGCTGGCTTCGATTTGGGTGTAAAAAACATAAATTCAGTTTGTGACTTCCCTAATAATCAAATTTTTGGCGGTTCTGTCTTTTAAATTTGTGAAGCACTGTAGGTTTGTTTGTCTTTATAGTGAAAATGCTACTAAACTAGATGTGACAGTAGGTGGTGGCAAACACTTCTTTTCTGATATTAAGCCAAATGTTCATTTAGTGAGACTTTACTTCAAAAGGATTATGTTAATATAAATGTTAGCAGACAAAATGTTAATGTCACTGGACTGTACTTTTCCACTCATGATAATGACAGTGTGTCAGCAGGATACAGATGTTTGCAGCCATCCAGAGCTTAAGCCATAGAAACCTTTGCCAGTCCCTACTGTAATCCCTGCAGTGCCGAGAGAAATTCTCACTGAGTAGTACGGATGGCATTTCCCTTTCTAACAGATAAGGCAATATGACACCAGGGAAGAGTGCAGCTTGAGTGTGTAACCTCCTACGCTTTCTGGATCATCACCTGGAATTTACCTGCAAAGGCAGAAAGACATTTTTCATGTTAGCTGACACAAAAAGAAGAAATTCACATTGGCTTTTCATTTTTTTCCTAGTTTAGTTCAATTTAAGTTGCACTATATGAGTAGACATGTTTGCTACAGTGGTGAAAAAGACTAAAACAAACTGCTGTTTGATTAACCTTTCACTCAAACTTAAACATCAGTGTACTATTTCATGTGCAATAATCTACACTACTAAAGCTACGTTCACACTGCAGGTCTTAATGCTCAATTCCGATTTTTTGATCAAATCCGATTTTTTTGTCTGCTCGTTCACATTACAAATAAAATGTGACAGCAAACGCACTCTAGTGTGAACGCGCAGAGCGGCCCGCATGCACAAAAGAAGGCGTCACACAAAACGCGCTCTGTTTAGACCCAGACCAAACAATATTGTTTGACTGATGGCCCTTAATATAAAGACTTCGGACTTTATGTTTCCCAATTTTTTGCTTTAAGTTATTTTGTTATTTACATAATAATGTAAATAACCTAATAATTATCCTTATTGCTGTTTTAGAGAGGAGCAGTGCTTCAAAGGATAGTTGCAGATTTCTGTCAGAATCTGCAGATTATGCAGTACAAATAAAATGTTCACGTTTCTCCAACATCGTCTTCCAAACAGTTTCACTGACATCTGCTGGATGGCCAGGAAGCGTTCACGATGTCTTATCGGGTGCTTCTCCGGCGCTGATAATTGACGTCTGTCTTGTGTCAGTGACGTAAAAGACGGATTTAATGCGACATGACCGTTCACACAGCCTCGCTTTCTAAAACATCGGATATGTATCGGATTCAGTACCACATACGAAAGTGACCCAGATCGTATTTGAAAATATCGGATTTGTGCCGTTCACACTGTCATACCATGATCGGATATGGGTCGCATAGGGTCAAAAAAAAGCTCGGATTTGATGCGCTTTTGCCTGCAGTGTGAACGTAGCCTAAATCCCAGCCCCACCTTGCATCCATCTGTCACCTCTGCCTTCACTTGTTTCCTGTTCATGATTTCCAGACATCTTCCAGACTACCATCTGATGCTGCCTAGCTAGACACATTTCACCACTCTCTCCCACACTGGTACCCTCTCTACCTACCTACACACTAACTACATTCAATATCACCACTTTGACTTCTAGCTTCAAACTCACAATCCTGTCTGACATGCTCTTCACCTCAGCAACACTATTCACACCTGTGACTCTGCCCATAAAAAACAAAAACTATACCTTACTTTAATCCAGAGTCATGTAAAAATCACACAAGTATTCTCCATTTAAAATATCTGAGGCATATTTCAATCATGTGCATGGGCAACACAAACTTCTCTTTCTGAACCACTCAATGGCATTTTAATGGAATTGATTCAGCAAATAAAACAAACCCCCAAACCTCAGTTTGGAGATGACTGATAAATGCTCTTTAAAAAGATTTTTGAATGACTAAATCCTTACATGAAGGCATGACAGACACCTCAGAAGTCACAATACTCTTCACTCCCAGATTGGATAGAGCTCCTCTCACCAAACCACATGTAAAGGCCAGATACTGCAGGAGGAAAACAGTTACTTCATATGATGACAGTGAATGGTCTCACATATAAAACAGGGTCACAGTATATGTCACAGTACACCTTTACTCTTATCAGTTCCTTGAACAGTTATCTTCTACTCCAGCTGGTTATTCAACCAAAGAGCCAGACAGTTTTAATTCAGTTTTAATTTGCTTAGCCTCATCCACCATAGCTGGAAAACTCAAAAACCAGTTTCATTTGTATGTTTCTATGCTCCACCTGGGCCTCAATCAGAGCTTCTGTCTGATGTCTCAGACATTTTGTCTGATTTAGTACTCAGCTCAGATGTCAGGAAAAATAATTAGTGTGGGTGACTGTCCATGTAATCTTAACACAGCATTTAATTATTATTGTAAGGTATTTATCTTACAATATAAAGCGCCATGAGGCAACTGTAGTTGTCACTTGGCGCTATATAAATAAAACTGAATTGAATTGAATCTGTTTCACACTGCACCTTCTGTATAAGGTATAATCCAATCCTTCCACTCCTATATCTCAGCCTTGGTCCTCTCTGCTTTGAAAGTCCACGTTCACTATAGCCATTTCCATCAAGAACTACAGGCTGTAAATACTGTGGCCTGTGGCACTGGTTCAAGCTATATTCTAAGCAAATAAACTGTTAACAAAGAGTGAATGAGCATTTGATACTCAGTACTGAACAACAGGAAGACTGAGACCGAATGTAGGTAAACAATGTGATTGCAGCATTAATCACATCTGTCACAACAGCACTCATGTAAAACGGATACAACTTATCATGTTTGGCCATTTATACACAGATAAAAAACAAGCAATTCTCTGTTCTGAAACTCATCAGTTCTCCTTTTTTTTTTAAAAAAAAAATCAGTAAACCTTGATAAGAAGGGAAGTCAGGCGTTCCTACATTTCATTCGATCTATGGTGTGTTGTCTCACTGGCAAAAGAAAAAACAAACAAACTGCTAATTGGAAGGTTTATGATAAAGGAGAACTAAAAGTAATCTGAACCTGTCCATGTGGCATCATCAGAACTGAATCAGTCTGTTAGACAAAGTGCTCTGCTGTCTGTCAAGTAAGTGGTGCAGAAGCTGGTCAGGATCCATCCATACTGGTTAACAGTTTGTTGACTGACCTCCTTTTCACCACAGTTTGAAAAAGCTGTCCAGTTTGCCATCAGTCACAGAGCCAGCCTTGCTAGTAAGTTTATTCAGTCTGTTACTTTCACCAGCTCTGATGCTGCTGTGGGCCAGACCACAGCAAAGCAAAAGTACAGTAAACTTACCACCACTGACTGACTGAATTATTTTACTGCCCATGTTGAAGGATGTTCTCTGCCTGCTCTCTATTGCCTGTACTGTGACATGTTATAAGAAGTGAAATTAAAAGAGTTTAATTTTATAATCCAGCCTTTATTCAACATAATTGTCTTACTTTGGGCACATAGCGCACACTTTTCTTACAGATTCTCTCTTTTGGTGTCAGTGTCTTTCAGGACTCATGCTGCTCACCTCTGATGGTATGATGTGCTACTGTGCATGTACATGTTGTCTCAGTAAAAGAGACAGTTTGAGAAGCAGAGAAAGTCTTTTAAAACAGACCAGTAAAAGAAAAAAAAAGCACCTTTGGGGCATGTTCCAAGTATTGTTTTCCCACTGACAGATGACTCAGTAATCCAAACTTATTGTCCTGCAGAACATAGATGCCCTAAAACACATGATCATATGATGATATATGACATCAGCAATGACACACATCAACAGAACAACAAACAATCAATCTGACAGGAAGTAAGGCAAAATATCACAGTACTGGCATTTATATATTACAAATATATTATGGATGACAAAAAGGAATTATCATTTGGGTGGCTGTGGCTCAGGTGGTAGAGCAGATCAGCTACTGACTGGAAGGTATGTGGTTCGATTCCTGGCTCCTCCAGTCTGCATGCCAAATATCCTTGGGCAAGATACTAACCCCAAATTGCCCTCTGATGCGTTCATCGGAGCGTGAATGTGTGTGAATGCTTATTAGTTGCACTTGAGTTTAGAAGTGCTTGTATGATTGGGTGAATGAGGCATGTTGTATAGAGCGCTTTGAGTACTCCAGGAGAATAGGAAAGCGCTATATAAGAATCAGTCCATTTACCATCATTTAGATTTGTCAGAGGCTACATTAATAAAAAACTGGATTAAAAGAAGAGAAAACAGACTACCCAGTGACCTGGTGATTGGTTCGAAGGTTGTCGATTTGCTTCTTGAATACACAGGTCCAGAAGTCTTTACATATAAACTTCATAATGTCCAGCTCATCCTTAAACCGTGCTGTGTCTTTAGTCAATCTAGAGGAAAACAAAGAGATGGGTAAATTAAACTAGGACATCATTCATTGACTTTCAACGGTCTGCTCGCTGTAAGATGCATTTAAGGAGAATGCGCCTAGTATAACTGTGCACATGACCCATAAACAGTATGCTGTCTGTGTAAGTGTTCAGACAGGTACAGGGTAGTTTTGAGAGCTTGAAAAGAAGACAATTGGAGTTTTTTTTAGAGTTTTGCCTCTCATCAGTTCAGGGAGTGCAATACGTAATAAACCCCTTGTGGTGACTGTCCCATTAGAGGTGATCCTGACAAACTCCCTATTGATGCTATATGATGTGAACTATTTACTCACAAATCCAGGATTACCTTGATTTTTAATCATCTGAGGCAACATGTACATGCAAAAACGTGCTTACAAAAATGGAAACATCTTAACAAATGATCAGCACATTTAACAACACTTGTCATAAAGTTCCCTAACAGACAACAGTAAAGGAACTCCTTATAATCAGAATTTAATGAAATCCAAATACATTTTTTAACAGGTGA